ACATTAGGCCTCCACTGCGCAATGGTTGTCTGCCGTGCCAATCCATAAGGTCTTATATCCACTTCATACAGTCGTTCTTATTTCACCTTCAGATTTAACCTCAACGCATAGCTTCCCTTTCGATTTCCCCTGGAGGGCGTAGCTTGTGATGTTGTTATTCGAAGTGTTTATGAGTGGATATTTATGGTATCTAATACTTCATGCTGTTGAATATTATTAAATTAAATTTTGGATATCTGTGTACATACTCCACGTGTGTAAAGTCTTTGATTATGTTTATTATCGAGGGAAGTGTTTATACTCAGCATAATATGAGGAACAAATTAACATCTCTGAATAAGAACAATCAAATTAAATAAATGATTTGTAAATATCACAGTAAAATGGCATTCAGTTTATAACTCTAATGAAGTAAATCAGAAAGCTGAAGATTTTTTACTGAAATGAAGTTGAGAGACCAATAGATGAACCAATAGATGTGCGTCGGTAGCACAGTGGTTAGGACTCTCGCCGACCATGCACATGGTCCGGGGTTCGAGCCCACGCCGACGCACACCTGATATCTATGGCCTGCAAAATTTGGGCTACCGATATCCATGCTGAAAATTCCATACTTGTACCAAAAATACAGTGTGGAATCAAGCTGTAAATCAAAAAAAAAAAATCAAAACGAAAACATTATTTTCAGGATTTCATCATGAACTGACATAGGTTAGAGAACCATTGGAAACCAGCACTGGAGTGCTGGACAGCTAGGTATTTTATCTGCCTAGTTTAGAACTCGTCAGCAATACTCATACACCCCGCTAGTTGGGTTTGAAGTCACATTTTTCCGTTTAAAAGTCGAGGTAGTTAGTAGATCACTAAGTCATTGGTACCCACAAATCCAATGGCCAGTCAGTACATGAATTTCAACTTCTGGCAATTCACGCTTGTTATAGAGCGACTGGCACTAGTCACTGTCCTCACCAGTGACCTGCTGTGTCACACTGGTCATGTCTTCTAACAAGAAACCAGGTAATTACCTACCTGAATATGGCCAGTCGCTAATCAGTAACAGACTGTTATTCAATTGTTGGCTTAGTGGTCTATTAGCTAGGTTGCGTCAGAGCCAGAAGGTTATGAGTTTGAACGGTTACAGTGGAATGGGTGCTTAGTTTTGAAAATTTAGCCCCATTCTGGGTTTACGAAACATCTGGTTGTCAAGCACCCCAGTGCTGGTGTTCAATGGTACTCATTTCATGATGAAATCTTCTAGTCAATCAGATCGAATCAAATCCGTGCAAATCAAAACCTAATAAAAATTATTTGCATTCAATGATCGAATTTGTGTGTTCCGAGTTTTTACCGTGTCTAACACTGACTATAGGTGGTTCATGTTTCTTAAGGCTGTCGAAGTATGATCTCGAAAATAAGCATGAACTCTGAGTTGATGATGACGTCCATTCAACTGAAATCAAACATCGTTCTTAACAGATATCAGTTCATGACGAAATCGAATTCCTACAACTAAACATTAGGGAATGGATTCATCTTGTGATTGCATGACTCTAAAGCTTCATTATCTTTTTCTCACCTTGGTCTTGGTCAAATTGCCCACCAATGAGAATATTTCTTTTTTGCCTAACTAAGCCGGATTAGCAGTCAATCAGAACATTCCATTTCTATTGCCCTGGGCCAATTTCAATGTGGTAAAAAAATTAGGTGAATATGTATCCTGACAGTCACAGGACAGTCGGTGTCTTTTTGATATTTACGTGGCTCATTAAAGAGGAAGGTGCCACCACGTGGGGATTAGGGGACGTGGCATATCCAATGAGTTATTCAATACGTCATTATTATTATTATACCCATGCATCAGTCCAGTAGATCATTTTATAAAAAATTGGTGACTTAGATCATAGCTGGCAGACAATATATCACAAATTTACAGAAACTAGAATTCATGAATAATCGGATTCTAACCCGGTTAGTGAATGACGAGCTCTAATGACAATAGTCTTTGTTCACTGTTGCACGATCTTTAACTAGGACAAAACAGCTATCCAGCTCTCTTTGAATGACATCAAATCACAACAAAATTCACATGCTGAGTTTAATAATACCTCCACCAACATTTATCCCTCATTTACAGCCTATAAATATTGAACAAGGCGTACAGTTGTGTAGAAATTTAATTAGTGGATGGTTACCAGCAGTGGAATCCAGGATAACGCGCATTTCGTCCGATTCGGGACTCGTCAGCCAATTGGTGTCCCTGCACAACCCAGTGAGTGAGTGATGATGTTCTCACCACCGAGGCCCGAACCCAGTGCCCATAGTTTCAATCGGTAAAGCTTTATCCACTAGATCACTTGGACGTCTGAAACTATGGGTACTGGGTTCGAGCCTCTGCGGTGGGAACATCATCACTCACTCAATCACTCACTCAGTGGGGTATGCAGGCATATTCAGCTGACGAGCTCTAAATAGGGCGAAATGCGCGTTATCCTGAATTCCACTGTTAGTCACCCTCCACTAATTAAATTCAAATTACATGCCCAGACATCGTTGAAGCATTTGCACAAGAAGCCGAGAGACATGTCAACCTGAGACCGAGCATTTCAGTTCAATCTATCAGTGGACGAGAAAATCTAAAATTCAGTTAAATAAAGTTGTGTAGAAAGGTATTGAGTACTTTATCATAATATTGAAGTGTCAACATTTATTCATTAATTCTACATGTGTTTTGACAATAAAATAATACAGGTTTTTAAGGCAATAATAAATCAGAGTATTAAATGCCTACTTAGAGTATCTATCTATCATCTATCCATAGGCATATTGCGTGACAATTACAAGTACAAATGAAAACAAAAGTGTTGACAATAACAACTTTCTATCTCTGATATCTGTTGTAGAAGAGTATGATAAGTATTTACTTTTGTTTGTTAGATAACCGTCAAGTAGTATGTAGCTTATCATCCAGAACAGGAGATAAGATGCTTTATGAATATATATATATATATATATATATATATATATATATATATATATATATATATATATATATATATATATATATTAAATCTTAAGATGTAGAGGCAAAAATAAATCCTTTTAGTTAAGCTTCACATAACTTAACTAACACGAATTTTATGCCTAACATACAGTCTAACATCTCAGCTTAGAGATAGATGCTCCACTTCTAAACTATACTACACTATACTCTACTACACTCAACTAAACTAAACTTAACTAAACTATACATGAGTGTTTATCTTATTTTACATTTCTAGATGAGTATCAGGAAGTTGAAAAAAATAAGCAATCAAGCAAGCGAGTGAGTGAGCAAGCAAGTCAAACAGGCAAACATGCAACAGTTTATATACATCATATGTGTTTGTAAAAGTCCATTTGATAGAATGATTGCGCAATCAAGTGAGGAAAAAGATGTATGATATGAAAGGATAGCTTGAAGATAAGAACAAAGTAAATTAAAAAAAGAAGGGTGTAATATAGTGCCTTCAAAATGTAAAATAAAAGGTAAGTGAGACTGAGAAATGCATTTACTGTTTTGGAAATAAAGATGAATGGTTAGTTGTTTTTTTTTTTACCCGTCATTACGTTTATAGGAGATTTAATGACACTGTGTTTTCTAGGAATCGGGTTGTTTTAATACCGAAGATTTAGCTGTCTCTCTAAACAGTTGTATTTGCCAACTTAAATGTACGCGGGGAGAAGGAGCATCAAAGATAGGTCTTAAAGTGAACATAGAGAAGACAGAGGTTGGGTGATGAAGATTCCTGGCTAATCGCAACAGCAACATAGGAGAAATCTAAAAGAAGCAACTTCCTTTACCTACCCACCCACCTATCTGGGAAGCATCATTTCAAATACAGGCTGGTGGAACCGAGAAGAATATCAAAGGAGCTAGGATCAGGAAAGCCAGACAAGCTTTCATCACACAAAAGTGTGTTTGTGTGTGTGGAGATCAACAGCATTATTTATGAAAAGTAAGATCCGGATTTTCAACTTCAATGTGAAGTCAGTGCTGTTTGCCACACGAATCAGAGACTTGGCGCTGCGTCGCGAAGGGCACTTCGAACAAGCTACAGACCTTCATCAACAGATATCTTCGCCCAATAATCAAGGTCAGATGGCCGGTCAGAAAAGATCAGCAAGAGGGAAGGGGGTGATCTCTACGAGTGAATCAACACAGGAAGAGAAGGAGGTGGATTGGTCATACTCTGAGAAAACCACCAAGTGACTGACATCACACGCCTGGCCATCGCTCAAGTGAAACCTGAATAGGAAGTGGTGAGTTAGCTGGTCTTTACTGCGAGGGTGACTTGTATGAGGCCATGTGAATAGAAGATGAAAGCATGTGGGTAAATAAGAAGGCAGATGAAAACGTTGGCAGAGAAACGGACACAATGGAGACGTACGCGTGGACACACATACATTAGGAGGACTCGTCGATCTCTGCAGGTAAGCGCTGGCTTCACAGCATATTCCTAAATGTCTTCAGACGCAGACTGAATCCCCAGAACCCATTAATGGTGAGAACAGATGACGACCTAGCTCCTCTACTGAGAAACATATTACAGAGGAGACAGGACATAAAATTGACGTTTACACATCTTTTAAACCTACCTATAAACGTGTTTGAGGTAGGGAGTATCCTAAAGTTTGTGGAAGTCCTGGCAGGCAGTTAGGAAGTATAAACCGCCTTTATCCGATCAAAGCAACAATTCGTCATCACCACACAAAACCACCTTCACTTGGTAAACTATTTTTTGATACCATCCAGGGTAGATGTACTATTACCTCCCTACTTTGCTTTAGTGATCTTCACTGTTATTTTGGTGTCGTTTTAACTTGACTCCTTAACTCTTTATTATATATATATATGCGATTAAACAGTTCAAGAATGATGTCACCGAAGAGAGCAACTCTTCTCTGAATACCTTTTCATTTATATAACTCAATGAGAACTTTCAAATTATACTTCGACTTACCCATGAACACCATGCCAATTGTTTGCATACACGAAATATACAAGTGAATTTTAATTCATGCAATCTCTGTCCAATTTCACTTAATTTTTGTTTAAATGTTTCATCAATCGAATTCATTTGTTCAAATGTCAATTTCATTGTTCTATCATGTGTAAATGTATAATTACTGCCTGTAGTAACTGTTCTACTTTTTCCATCTACAAATATTGATGAATAATTTGGATATAGACGAAATAAACCTGTTTGTATATGATGCAGATTATCTGTTGATCTAAATATTAAAGCTTGTTCATTACCATAGTGATTTGTTTGAAAATTGAAACTAATCGTTGATTTGCTTGCTAATTCTGAACTAAACATTGGACACCTTGAAAATAAGAGAAAAACAAGACTTTTATAACTAATATTTAACGATGATAAAATTTCTCCCTTATATAGCTATAAGGAACGTTGCAAACTTGACTGTTAGAATAAAGTACTCGACACAATACACTAGTTGCTAACTAGTGTCCAACTGAAGTGTCCCATACAGTCCTAAAGGAGGTCAGCCGCGAGCGCGAATAGCTCAGTGGACTCCATGTGAACATAGACAAGACGGAAGTTATGAAAATAACCAACTAACAACAACAACAGCATCAACATCCAGCGTCAATCACCATCAACGAAGGGAATTTAAAAGAGGTTACTTCATTCACTTATCATCTAGGGAGCATTGTCTCAACTACAGGAAGTCGGAATGGACCAGGATGTTGAGAGAATCGACAATCGGGAAGGCGAGAAACACATTCATCAACCTGAAACCAATCTGAAAATCTTCGTCACTCAGCCAGCATCAACAACAAAATTCGGTCGGATTTTCAATACAAACAACGTCAAGCCAGTCAGTTCTTCTATACGGATCAGAAACTTGACGAGCGGGTCACAAACAGCCACCAACAGCCTGTTGCAGACCAGACCTTTATCAACAACTGTCGTCGCTGGCTCTATGCTGAAGATCAGATGGTTGGGCAGGAAAGAATCACCAACAAGAAACTATGGGAAGAAAGAAAACAAGAACCAATCGCCCAACCAACAAATATGCAGGAGAAAGTGGAGATGGATTGAACACTCACTCGCTGAGGAGGCCGCTGGGTGACATTTCGCGAGCGTCAGGCCATTGCTCGAGTGCAACCAGGCCGAAAGGGAAGTGGCGAGTGGGACGTCGGTGGAAGGGTGACATGGAGGAGATCGTGTGAAGAGGAGTTGAAAGAGTATGGACTAACATGGATGCAGGTGAAAAGTACAGCAGAAGGAAGACAGAAGCAAGTGGAGATGTGCATTTGAAGCCCTATGTTCTACTAGGAACCCAAGGGAACAGTAATAAGTAATAACGTCTCTGACTGACTGACAGCAGCACTGGGTAACACGGGTTCAAATGTCAGGAGGAACATAAGTTCCTTCGAGGTTACAGATACGCTTTGCTGACTGGTGAGTGACAACTAGCACGAAACCTGGGTTGGGTCTAAGGATTCTTGTGACCGACTGCATGCAACTAATTAATATCACCGATTCACAGTGTACTGTGATGGCAAGCCACCTAGTCTGGCACGGTGGCCACACTGTAAAGTTGACCGACTGAATTTTAAAGGACTAGACACTAGATATTGACTAGTGTCCAGTCAAAAGACCTAGTTCGTTGAATGACTTAAAGCCATTTAGAAAACAGTATTAAGCAAACAGACTCTTTTCAACAATGAATTTATTATCAAGCTGCACAATCGTATATATATATATATATCATCCAACAGTTATACGACAATGCTGCATGCCAAGTAATCCACAATGGGAAACTTACGGAAGCCTTCGAAGTGAGAACAGAAATGCGGCAAGGCTGTCTATTATCGCCAATGATCTTGCTGATTGCAGTAGATTGGATAATTCGACAGACAACGGGCAATGAGGAAACAGGCATAAAATGGACTCACACAAAAAACTTGGAGGATCTGGACTTCGCCGATGATATATGTTTGATTTCCCACAAACCGGAAGATATGCAAATGAAAAGCAACAAGCTGGCAGAAGAAGCATCCAGTGAAGACAGGACATTAGGTGAACGTAGAGAAAACAGAGGTAGAAGATGAAGATTTCTGGCCGAAAACAGCAACAGCCACAGTAACAACAACAGACAACAATCAGCATAAATGAGGGAACCTGAAAGAAACAACCTCCTTTACCCACCTACTTACCTGGGAAGCATCGTTTCAACTACAGGCGGAACTGACGAGGATATCAAAGCCAGAATCAAAAAAGCAAAACAAGCTTTCATTACTCTTAAGTCTGTGTGGAGGTCAACTGCACTCAGCATCAAAAATAAGATCCGGATTTTCAACTCCAATGTGAAGTCAGTGCTACTTACTACATTGATCAGAGACTTGGCGTGTCATAAAGAGCACCTCAAACAAATTGCAGACCTTCATTAACAGTTGTCTTCGCTCAATACTTCGCTCAAGATCAGATGGCTGGCCAGAAAAGATCAGCAACTGGGATCTCTGGCGATCACCGAACCAACCAGGAACCGGTTGTGAAACAAATAGGCAGGAAGAAATGGAGATGGATTGACCATACGCTGAGGAAACAAACCATCAAGTGACATCAGCAGACAAGCCATTGCTCGAGTGGAACCTGAAAGGGAAGCGGCGAGTTGGTCGTTTATGCGAGGGTGACTTGGAAGAGGTCATGTGAAGAGGAGATGAAAGCGTGTGGGCAGACTTGGAGCGGGGTGAAAAAGTTGTCAGAAAACAGAAGGTAATGTAGATGCGCAGTTGAAGCCCTATGTTCCTCTCAGAATTAAAGGATATAATAATAGTAATTTATATATATATATATATATATATATATATATGACTTTTCTTAAGAAATTATATCCGGTGAGGAATTGAATCATAGGTGTGAATGGACAAAATAATAATAGTATGAAATGCAAATTAATTGTTCGTGATTATAAGATGTATAGTTGTTGGAAAGGGTTGTATAATTATACGGTTAGTAGGCTAATATAAAATGTTACATAAAATGGTGTGAAATTTGATAAGATAGAATTAAACATTGTAAAAATAATTTTTGGATTTAGAATGACAAGTGGGACAAGTGGAAACAATTCAGAGTGAGAATAGTAATAATAATAATGATCGTAGTAATGAGGGAATGGCACAGAGATGAACTAAATAAATGTTTATCCTTCTATGGCCAAGGCAGAAGTATGGATTGTAGATACTTCTTTTGTATACAAAGGTCTGGCTGGCATAAATTCATGAATTGCCAAGACCTCCACTGTCTTTAGAAGACTGTAACGAAGAAAACGTGGCTGGCAAGTTAGCATGGATTTGGTAGATGATCTTAAAATCATGCTGAGGGTTGGCAGAGTGACAAAGGAGTCGATCAAGTGTTCTAGAATGAAGCTTCACACACACTTCCTTTCTCCCTTGTGAAACCATTCTACTGGAATATGTTCTCGTATGCGTGAGTGAAAACCGTTCTCTGGCTACAGCCAATGTATCTTGTTTCACAAGAACAGATGAATTGATAGATGCATTTGGAGGCAGTCAAAAGGGTGAGTTTATCTTTTTACAGAGATGGTGAACAACTTGCGACGATTTCACGAATGAAAGCGAATTTCACAAAAGTTGATTTCTTACGACACAATGAAGTATGGATTACACAATGCTTTTCAGAGTTCATTAGATATATTAACTGTAAGAGAAAATCCAGTTACCTTCTGTTATATGTAACACCTAATCGCAGTACACCAGATTATACTCTATCTCATATTTGTAAGGAAACCATTTTTTTTATTTCCTTCACGTTCCCCAGTGGAACATAGGGCCTCAAGCTAGTGGCCTGAAGTTTCTGTAGCAGCGTTTAATTTTACAGGATGGGGTTGCTAGCCTCATGGACAACCTTTCCTCTTTACCAGTCTTATTACTGGTTTAGCGAGGTGAGGGAGTGCGTCGGCCGGGGATCAAACTCCTGACCATGTGCATGGTCGGCGAGCATCCCAACCGCTGTGCCATCGACGATTAATATCACCAATCAGTTACAGATATTCAAATGTCACGGGCACTGTCTGGATTTTTTGCAGGCTTTTCCCTTAACTTCATGCTTTTTTCTCGATAAATCTTGGAGGATATCCATTCTCTATGAGGACTTGTCTGAGTCGCCCCAGTTCCCCATCGATTGTATCACTTGAACATATCCTCCTTATTCTTGAGGATAAGGAATGGATCAGATTTCTCTTTCTTCTCAAAGGGACCCAACTATGGCAATTTGTGTACTGACCATTCCATGTTGGTTTCCTGTAGAAAAGTATCAATTTCTACAGCCGACAAATGATCAACGGATGTGTGAAGGATGAACTGCCACTTCAGGCCACCTCAATGTGTGTTTATAAATTCACCTGCTTGTGTGGAGCTAGTTATATTGGCCATCAGCACAAAGCGCACGCTTTCCAAACGCATTTTTGAACATTATTTGTCATGGTTAGCAAAGGGACAATGTAAGACAGTTACTAGCTCAATTCTCAAACATTTGGTGAACTCAGGCCACGTGGCTCCACCAGTGTCATCTTTCAAGATCATCCACAAAATGAAGTCAAATGGTACAAAGGGCGTCAGGTTTCGGCTTTTGTGTATGACAGAGGCGCTGGCAATTCGTCAATACAACCTTGAACTCTGTATACAGGAAAAGTTTGTCCAGTCTCTTATTCTACCTTGGTCTTAACCTCTTTACTAATCGTTCCCTGTAAAAAATTTTTGATTTTTATAGAGTTTTTCAATTCTACTTTGCTTTTACTGTAATAATCAACTCACTATCACCAATCTCATATCCTCCTTTTGTATATTTTCACACCCTCTTCACACTTGTTAAATTGACACTCAACTACCACCTTTATTCTCACTCAAGAGCAATTTTAACCCTATCAAATTTCTATCTTTGTGCCGGTGAGTACCACGTAATTTATAACTTTTAATTTTCACTTCTAAAGCCACTTCTGAGTAATTATATCAATTATGTCACCCCCTATTACTCAATAATAGACCACTGTATAATTTTGTAAGTATAAATACAACTGTACAGCCTATGAAGATGATTTCGTCGATAAAGAACATTTTCTTCGCTGAATCTGTCTTAAGTCATAAAGTAGTTATTTTTAAATATGCTTACTGTTGAACAACCCGGAAAACTGTGTCAAACCTTGATTTCACGCAACAAAAAACGTAAGTCAGTCATCCATTGTAAAACGGTATGTTCAGATGAATAAGTCGCTTGGTCCTCATAAAATCATTACAAAAAACATAATGCCTCCAAATGTAAGGTGTTAAATTTCACTCT